TCCACCTGGTTTTGTTGATGTTCTTGACATCTTAAGTTCAGCATGAAGCCCACAATAGCAAAAACAAACAGTCATTGTGAAGAACAAAAAAATTAACGAGTAAGAAAAAGGCGAGAAAAATAAAATATAGACAAAAAAGGCCTGATCAATTATGGAGAAGAAGAAGAAATTTGGAGTGAAGAATTTTGGAGAGAGATAAACGAGTGAGAAAGAGAAGACATTTTGGATATTTGAAGAAGAAATTAGGGGAATTTGGGGAAGATGGCCAAAAATGACCGTTATTGGCTTTTTAAAAGCATCTCACGCTCCTAAAGTGGGTGTAATTCACGCACTTGAACTACTTTTGCCACATGGGATGACATGTCAAAAAAAAGGTTTAAAATGTTGGATTTCAGTGGGTTCGAGGGTTTAGTTGGCAAAGTCTAGATTAGAAGGGCTCAAGTGACAAAATGAGACAAGTACGAGGGTCTCCCAGACCATTCTGCCATTAATTTATGAGCTTCTGAATCTTAACGAAATAAAATAATTAATTTGAACTATATAATCACTGATTTTAAAGATTAACAATAATTTAAGCCAAACTAAATTAATAAATTATTTAACTAAAAAAATGTAAAATCTTTTGAGATGATTTTCAAATATTTATAAAATATACTAGTTATATAAAATTATATAAATGTATTTATTATTCAAAATACTATAAAAATCGACTGAAATTACTTAAAATAACCTTGAAACTATTTTGAATTATATAAAGCTAATTATTCTAAATCGTTTGAAAAATTAAGAAGCTCGGAAATTAATTACTTTCGGGGAGGGTCAAAATTGGGTGTCAACAACACTTAATCAAGTAAATACAAAGAGGCGGTTTCAAATATCTCGAGTTTATTGTTTAAGAAATTGGGAGTATTCATAAGAAGGTGTCACCCAAATTTAATGACAAGTTCTACAAGGTGGTAACTAGACCAATTATGTTATATAAGACCAGGTGTTGGCCGGTCAAAATTTCTTACATTCAAAAGAGGAAAGTTGTGAAAATGAAGATGATGTATATGTTGGCATACTAGAAGGGATACAATCAAAAACAAAGATATCAAGGACAAGGTGCAAGTGATTTCGATGGAGAACAAGATGCGAAAGCGAGGCTGAGATAATTTGGGCTTGTGAATAAGAGATGCACGAATGCCTCATTGTGGAGGTGTGAGAGCTTGGTTATGGATGGTGCTATAACGACTCTAGAATCGATAGGCTAGAAAAGTATCAAGGAGGGGTGATTAGACAAGACATAGATCAATTTCATTTTACCAAGAACATGACCATATATAGGAGGTTGCGGAAGACATCGATTATGATAGAAGGTTAGTAGGTACGTTTTAGAGCGTTATCTCGCTTATCCTTCTATACTAGTAGTTGTAACATTATTCTTATAGTTTCTTGTCAGTCAATTTCCTGTTACTATTTGGTGTTTCTTATACTTTGATTGTTGTATTATTATGTTATAACTATTGTTCATAATCGATTTGTCATGTTTTGTCATGATACCAAATACTTTGAATTGTTTTTTGTTGAGCTGGGATCTATCAAAAACAATTTATCCACCTCAAAAATAAGATAAAGATCTACATACATTTTACCTTCCACACTTGCACCAAATATGTTATTGTTGTACATTTAAAAAGAAATTACCAAACAGAACTACTTATAATTTGAATAAGAAAATACTCATATAAGAATTTATTATCTTAAAATTACTTATATATTGAAATATAATCTATTTTTTTAATCAAGATACAAAAAAATAAAATAAAAATTACAAATAACTATAAAAATTAATACTATTTGACTTAATTTAATTCATTTTTGAACAAATTTTTTTTTGAGATAACCCCAAATATGAGAACCTAAAACCCCAACAAAGCCCTTTTGCCTCTGCTAGTAGCCTCAACAAACATGGCCACTATCACCGCCAGGTCCCTCCTCCGCTCCGCCACTTCCTCCGGCCGAACAGCCGCCGTTAGACTTTCCGGAGGCTCCAAGCCGAAGGTCTCCTCCTCTCCTTTTCGTATTCCTTCACAGAAACCCCTCGCCGCTCGCATTTTCAGGTCAATTTGCCTGAACCCTTTTTTGTGTGCATTTTCAGCAATTATTTCAGTGTTTATACTTAATCCTCTTACCTATGATATTGATCCAGATTGATTGATTATATGCACATATGTATGAAAATTTAATTTTCTTACCAATTTGTGTATATGATATTGACTCAGGACGAATTTTTCTTTGTATTTTGTAGGTTACCTGTTGAAATGAGTTGTGTAAGTGTTGAAACGATGTTTCCATATCACACTGCTACGGCTTCAGCATTGCTGAATTCAATGTTATCTGCTACTCCTAGAAGCTATGGTTGGACTCTTGAAGGTAAATTTTTACTTCTTTTTGAATTATTGTACGAATATATTACGAGAATTAGTTTGTTGGATGCACGATTATGCATATATAATGTTCATCAATGTCCTCCCTATGAAGAATTTACATTTGCTCTAAATTTCTAAAAGATTGTGCTATGTAAACTTTTACTTGTTTGGGTATTAGCTTATATTTGCATTGCATCTTCTCTGTTTATGTACTTTAGCCTTTGAGTGGACTGCATGGGCTGCATTTAGGAGTATGAAATGTTTGTATTTGTTTGAGTGTTGAGTGGTTGATGAATCCCTTTGTTAGGGAGCGTTGTACCCCCAATGTGGGACTTTCCGGCATGAATCCGGATTTAGTCGGGCTCCAATGTGGGTACTGGACACCGGATTGGAAACCAAAAAATAAGATATCAACAAATGTTGACATGTTGTTGAGTCTTAAATATGCAATTGATGTTTTTGTTGTGCCTGCCTGATTCTAGATTGATGCAGCAATACGTATTTCTTGCAGATTTGTGAATCGTGCAGCTGATATTGATTGTTGATGAGTTAATTCCATAGTAAGCCTCAGGAAAACTAAATCTCACTGTATGCCAGACCAAAAGTTGCTTAGCATATAGACTTTTCCTTTCCAGTTGTTGTTGTTAAGATGTAAGTGGCTTTCTAATACTAGGTATTTAATCAGATTGCAATGATGATGTATGATGAATGTCAAATAGTTCAAGTGAAGTTTATGTCCATGCGGTCTAAGAGAATAATAGTAGAATACGGAATAAGAACATGGCCTTGACTTGTCGTCTGTGCCTTTTATCACATTTCGTCGCAATTGGTAGTGTTAGATAAAGCAATATATTACATGATTTTAGTTTTCTGGAATATTTCTGAAAACTTCTAATTATGTCCCTTATGATATGTATATTTAGTCACTTCTAAAAAGATTGTTGTGTCTTTATTTCTTGTATCCATCTAAGATCTTTTAAGTTTTAATTCATAGAGTTGTAGATTCATTAAGTGGCATTGAGATGAAAGATAATCCCCTAAAACTGCAAAATTTTTCTCCTATCCCAATTATTTTCTCGTTTTGCTGGGGAGGGAGGGGAGCGGATTTCATTTGGTATTCTCTTAAGCTTGTATGCTTGTTCTGTTGTTGGACAACCGAAGTTAAAAAGAGAAGTTCTTGTACAAGTTGAAATGCTGGTTTATCAACTTACAGAGACCATAGAGAGAGGTGCCACGACCCACGATAACATAAGATTTCTACTTCTCCCGAGAACTAAAGTTCTGTGTCTGAACCTCCATTAGTAAACTGTGAACCTGATGAAATGGGACCACTACCACCATATGGAACATTATCATCCTTGAACAACATATTATGCATTCTCAGATTGAATGCAGACTTTATGTGATGCATTTGATGTGATTTTTCTGTACTTGTCTGATTAGATTGATCACAAAGTACTTCTTCTTGTAGATTTTGTGAATCATGTGGCTACATGATTGTTAAAGAATTGAGGGTCTGAAGCTTAGCATATATCTTTTGGCCTTTCTCATTGTAGTTCTTGCTGATTAAATCATATGCTTAGATTCATTCTAACACTTGGTATTCAATCAGATTGCAACGATGATTTATGATGAATGTCAGAAGGTTCAAGCGAAGTTTTACCATGCAGTCTATGGACTAAGAGAATGTCTAAACGTAGCGCACGACAGGTGCTCCAAAGAAACATATGTTTTCTCCTGTAACTTTCATTTGATTTTTGTTCTAAATGAATACATTTGTTGTAATTTTGATGCTGACCTGACCCCAACTTCAGTGAATTCTGGATCTTACTTGAGTCTTGTTTTATTACTCCAAGTATTTATAGAGTTGAACCACTCTTGACTCAACCAAGGATAAGTTGTTTCTTCATTGACAACAAAATTTGCAGGCACAGCAACTTCAATGAGGATTTTGTCGACAGGTAACCTCGTAGACCCTCTTAATCATGTAACGTTACGATGAATGATAGTGGTTCTGGCTTCATCGAGTCAACTGCATTTTAAGTTGAAAGATGTAACCACAACCCAATGTGTACTGTATTTCTCAACCCTAACATGCAACAACGACAACATACTCGGTGTAGTCCAACAAGTGGGGTCTGAGGAGGGTAATGTGTACGATGGACCCTCGGCCCAAGTAATGTACTCAACCCTAAGATTTGTCCAGGAAATCAACACCTTCAAAAATAGAATGCAGCTTGGCTTGGATCCTACTTTCCTTTTTAGCCTATTTCAAAAAGGATGTCACTTTCCTTCTTTTTTCGGTAATTATTTAATTTTAATTTTCTCTCGTTGACAAGTTTAAGACTACAAGATTAAAAAAGTGTTCCCTACTTTCTTAAACATGGAAAACGGAAGAATATATAGGGTGGCTTTTCATTATAGGCTAGTCAAGCATTTTCCTACGTTAAGATTATTTTAAGTTTTTAATCACTAGATAACAATCATTGTGTGTTGAATTGGTCAAATAAATATTTTCCAGCAGAACCTAACTTTTATTATTATATTCATTGTTCTAGTACCACATTTTCCCTCAACTTTCCTTTTTTTTTTTATTTCCATATACTTTCACTATTTATTGACAATTATATTAAATAATAATAATTATGCATGTTGGGATCAAAACAATGACATGTCCCTAAAACAAGGGGAAAAAACTTTATAGCAAAAGCTACTCTAATATATCTTTTTTAATCAATTTTTTTTATTTGGACAATGTTTCCTACTTTTGCTAACACGTCAATTTCATTGCCTTTTTATTCCTCATCAAGACGTGTTAATTATTCTCTTAAGCTTTGCAAAAAAAATATTCTTGTGTCGAAAGGTTAGAAAATTAAAAGGAAAATAATTATCCTTTTAAATCTCTCTTATTCTTATAAAAAAAAAATTGATGTGACACATCTCTTAAGAAATTTTTATTATAGGTGTATTGTATTTATTAGGGGTAATTAATTAAATCTAAAAAATATAAAGGAATTTTTTTTAATTGTTGATGACATATTTAAATTAATTGAGGTACATGAACGTTGATCCGAAACAACAATTATAAAAAAATAAAATATAACGGAAATAAAGAAATGTAGATTAGCAGCCGCCCACGCTCTTTTTCTTTCCAGCCGCCCACACGCAATCTTCTATCTATCGTTTGTGTCTTATTCCTATAATATATTCTCTTTATGCATCATATCTATACGCAGAGATCTCGAGTTTAATTTTTGATTAGGTGAATAAACTTTCATTCTTCGTCAAAGAATTAAGTTCATTATATATTTTATTTTTGTATTAAAGATTATAGTCTAAATTAGAAATTATGTAAATATCCAGTATATATTGTCATTCAATATATTTTATTTTTGTATTTTTGTCATTCAATTTCTATTACTATATATTGTTTTCAGTACTTCAGTTATCGCATTATAATTATTATTTAGTGAACAATTAAAAGTGAATTTTATTACTTTTATATTAATGAAATAAATGGGGACCAATATTTAAATGAAGTCATTCTAGTTTGCTGACTTCAAATAGCTTTCCTCTAATATCCATTCTTCTAATTATTCGAAAAATATTAGTAAAATGACAGCTACTCTTTAGAATAACATTTATAGCAAGTAATTGATTTCCAACATTTAAAGTGTCTTTTAAAAAAAGTTTGTGGTCCTTCCCAATTACTTCACAAGTGCAATGGAATTTAAATCAGTGTGTTAGGCCCAAAAAAAAAAAACAGTGTGAATACTTTTTTCTTTTTAATTTTTTTTTACCTTAAAATTAATTTTATTTTCTTTGAAAGCTTAAATGTTGTAAAGTTCCAACTTTCAAAATAGTTTCTCCATTATCAATTGTGGTATTATGATCACCAAGAATTGTTCATTCTTAATCAAAGGTCTTGAATTCGAGTTTTCTAAAATACGATATCGTTTTTGTTAGTAAGCGTTTTACCTCCTAATATGGAACTTTCCATATTCAATATGAATAATGAACACCGGATGAGAAATCAAAAAAAATAGTAATATTGATGAATAAGTCATATAAATATAAATTAGATAGTAAAATGAAATAATAAAATATAGATAAATAAATAAAAACGGAAAGATATTATTAATTTAATAATAATAAAATAAAACAATAAAATGACGTAAAATATGGTGGACGGCAAAATGAAAAGGGGCCCACCCACACAAAAGCGGCAGCCGCGTTTTCTCTTCACTTCTCATGTCCGTCTCCACATGTGGCCCCTTTTCCTGTCTGCTACTCTCCGCAGCGAATCCCTTAGGTACGGAGTCGTTATAATGGTTTAAATCTAGAAATTTTGAAAATTGACACGAGGGGTTGTTGAAATAGTAAATGTTTTTTACTTAATTTTTTTTTTTTTTTATGAAGAAAGCAAAGAGGATTTTAAAAAGGTGAAAGACTCAAATATGACATTGAACTTTCAAAAAAGACTCATTTATGTCATCTTTTAAAAGTTTGATTCATCTATGTCATTATCGTTTAAGAAAAAGCTCGTTCAGGCCATTATTTTTAACAGTGATTTTACAAAACTATTTTTTACACGTGGCTAATTATAATTCGGCCACGTCATTAATTGTTTTTATTAAAAAAATCAAAATTCTGAACAATAATTAGCCACATGTAAAAAATGGTTTTGGAAAATCACTGTTAAAAAAAATGGCATGAATGAGGTTTTTCTTAAACGGTAATGACATAGATGAGCCAAATTTTTAAAGGATGACATAAATGAGACTTTTCTGAAAGTTCAGTGACATATTTGAGCTTTTTCCCTTTTAAAAAAGAAAAATTTAGCTATATTTTTGGTATAATATATCATTTAATTCGATCTTATTTTATATATGATAATTTGTATCCTATATTTATTATGTCACACAGAGGGCTCATATTTAAATTTGTCATGTTTAATTTTTCTTTACAGACACATGACTAATTAATGTTCTTGGGTACAGTGGCTTAAATACTGCTCTAATTACGGCTAAGGGATCTGTTTTTGATCTGATTCTCATTAATTAACGTTGTTTTTAAGCTTTAATTACAGTGTGTGCTTACTCGAAAAGAGATTCTTACCACTATTTATGTCGGGGATCCACCAACAGACAGCTAGCATTACACTATAATTCCAAATTTGTCCTTATATCGTTTGGTAAAATACTCATATCAATTGTTAATATTTTCTTAGTTAAATAGTGATAAATAAAAACGAACGGACCGAGTAGTAACGTAGCAAACAAAGAAACATATCCGTTAACGTACATTCACAGCTGAAAGTACGTATTTGTTACGTTAGCTGAAAATGAAAAAGACAAAATAACATCCACGTGGCACAACCTCCATTATTACTCAAAATTAAACTCTCTGTATCTGCCATATCCGTACACTCAAAATGGACCACACGTGCTACACGTGTACCGCAAATCTCTCTTAGCGGTTCTCACTCGCCGCCGCCTGCTCCTCACATTCCCACCGATCAATAAACACGTTTACTATTCGAACAACTCCTTCTCGTAATAGAGTGAAATAGAGAATATAATATTATTTTTCAGCTGAAAAAACCGGCAACAATGTATATAACAAATATTATAGGATGATCTAATTGAAACAACAGCTTTGCAAAATCAATAGATTTGTTTCTTCTGTTGCAAAAAAAGGTAAAAGTAGATCAGCCTTGTTGATATTGACATCGGCGGTGATAAATTGTCGCTGGCGGCGACGGCAGCAGCAACGGCGATGGCTCTTCAGTTTTCTACCATCTAATCTAATTCTATATACTATTTCTTTTTTTTCCCTTTTCTGTTTAAATAAAAACATTAAAAAGGAAATTGCAATAAATAAAAATGTTTCACAAAATATCTCCGATCGTCGTCTCCGGTGATGTCACATATTTTCCGGTGGAGGAAAGTTGAGGTCCAGATTTAGACCGGCGATGGTTGGTTTCACGTCAACACGCATAAAATCAATCACCGTTGATGTATCGGAGTCACCACCACCGAGGAAATCCACCGTCTTCTTCCGATTTGTTTCTAAATTTATAACTCCGGCGCGTGCAAGTGCTTCTAAATAGTACATATGATTCACCGCCGGTACAGCACCGGTAAAACCTCCACCAGAGATCGGAAATCTAACAGTATTATGGTTAAACCCGCCGATTGATCCACAAAGTCTTAGATCTAACGGCGATGATGAATCAACCATAACCGGACTCGACGATTCAACAGTACTAGTCTGACTCGGACTCCGATTGATTTCATTTTTAACAGGGAATTTCAGATCTTCCTCCTTTTGTAATGGAGGAAAATTAGTTTTCGCTTTAGCTCCACGGAATTCCCTAGCAGCGTTATCATAAGCTTTCGCCGCTTCCTCCGCAGTATCAAAAGTACCAAGCCAAACCCGGCTTTTTTTACCGGGATCTCTTATCTCCGCCGCGTATCTCCCCCACGGCCTCTTCCTTACACCTCTATAATGCACCTCTTTCGAAATTCCATTCAATTTCCCCACCGCCATCACCGCTGCCGCTGCCGCCGCCGTCACTGCACCAATTTTTTCTTTGGGCGCCATACTAAAGACTAATTAAATTTATTCAAAATTTGGTTAGAAATAATAATGTTAGGAGATGAAGAAAATGGAGAAGTGGGGAAGAGAGATTATATAGGAAAAGCGAGTCAATAGTGGCTATGGGTATTTTGACTTGTGAGAAATAGCCGCCCCCCATGGGTTTTGTGGGGCCCTTGTTTTTTTCTACAAAATGTGGGGCCTAGTCAGTTACGTGACATTTGTGTTCTTGATGGCGGCAGACTGTTTTTTCTTTTTAGTTATACGTGGGAACTACATATACATTT